AAAGTTCCAAGAGCTGTCTTTAAAAAATACGAGATTTTCCCGCCAAATTTGTCGCACGTGACACCGCCAGGATGTCGAAACCAAATTTTGGCCATAGTGTTCTCTACTGAAAGTAAGAAGTTTACGCTAATTTGAAGAAGAAGAAAGTAGATTTCACGGAGTCAAGAATAGAGACTTCTTCGTCCACGAGGCAATTCTCGAGTCCCGATTCCCCACTGAAACATTTAACTACTGTGCACAGCTGAGAAGTTGGCGTGTGGGACGGTACGCGGGCAAGAGATATATTCCGCTCGCTCCGCCTGTCTCCACCTTTGACATAGTAGTAGGATTTCCATATCTGCGGTGGTTCCGTTGGAGGGCGGGAGACACGCTCTCAATCTACGTCTACGCCTATGTTTTGAAGTTCATCGCTCGCTCGTTATCGCTCTATCCGCTACATTTAACCGATTAGTATAGAAAATGTGTTTGCTCCATCTTTATCGTTGTGTGTAAGTAGGTTGGTCTGTTAGATTATTGCCCATCAGATCCGTGTTTCTTCTGCATGCCAGGTTCTCGGCTCTGCAGAGTACTCGACAGACCCTTAACCCTTTTGCTGTTAAGAGTGACTATGGTCAGGCAATGCGGAGCCTTTGATATATGTTAAAGGTGACTATACGTAGTCACTCAGCATTGAGTGCTAGTTTCTTAAAGATGACTACGGTCAATTAACCGCGAACTCGGTGATGAAACTGTGTTGCTACAGAATTTTTTAATTCGATTATTCTGACATGCGTTTGTTTGCAATTTGTTATGTGCTATCTTGGAGTAGGGTTATATACTGAATATACAGGTTGTCCCTCGTAAGTGTCGCCACGATTTTTCGGGCAATTCCGGTAGCCAGTGTCACATGCGTAACAGACGCCGCTTGGGTCGTTTGGCCGTACCGACGAGCCGAACAGTAACATCGGTATTTTCAATAGACAGCACCTTCTAAAAAGCGAGGTCTTAGCCGGCATGGGCAAATTACTTTATTACACCAAAAATTCGACGACTCTCACACCTGGACACCACATACCCTAAGCAATAAAACAGACCTTCGACGTCACCAATTTCAGACAAGTAATATAACAAATGTAAGAACAATTCTCCACTTTCACACCACCACCAGACACACCCCAATCACCACACACTTCCACCACCTACGACAGCTTCACAACACTCACGTAGTTTATAAAATAGCGAACACCACACGACACGACGCACAATTTTCCTGTCAGTAAGCCTAGACATTTCGCGCTCTATTCACGTCCATTCACAAATATATAGTTTTAACAGCAAACTGCTGTGCGTTAACAATCTGTCTTCCGAGCACTACCCTCGTCCCCTATCCCGAGTAGATTCCTTAAATGCTCTGACTCAAAAATAGGGACAATTATCGGTTTCGCAACAAACATATCGCGATTCGTAACACCAGATAAATATTAATTAGTTTTTAGTCGGCTACAAAATGCAATAGAAAAAAATTCAAAAAAGAAATTTGTTCATGACCAATGCTATGCTGTACCAATAGAAAGTGTGGATAAACAGCGAATTAAAACAGCGTGCGAAGAAGTTCGTCAGGAGAGCATTAAGCTGTGAGTTATGCATGTGAGTTAGATTTTTATAGGTGAACACTGAAATTCTAAATTTTTTTATTTAGGAAATTAGAACCACGGGAAACTATCAGATACAAACATTTTTGTCGAAGAAGTTCAGTCATGTCAAGGTCGTAGTATACTAGGCCTCATTTTTCACGAACAAATTTCTTTTTTGAATTTTTTTCTATTGCATTTTGTAGCCGACTAAAAACTAATTAATTTTTATTCAAATATTTTTTTTATCTGGCTACCGGAAGTGCCCGAAAAATCGTGGCGACAGTTACGTGGGACACCCTGTATACCGATAAAAATGAATTTGCGTACTTTGATGTATAATTCGTTATATACCATCTAGGAACAACGTTATATATTAACTTGAATAAATACCAATAAAAAGGATTTGCATACTCTGATATGCATTTCTTTATAATTCGTTATATACTAATTTGGAGTAACTTGGAGTAACGTTATATACTGACTTGAATAAATACCAATAAAAAAGAATTTGCATACTCTGGTACGCATTTGCTATTAATTTCCTACATACTACCTTGAATGAATACTAATAAAAAAGAATTTGCATACCTTGATATGCATTTGCTATTAATTTGTTATATACTACCTTGAACGAATACCAATAAAAAGGATTTGCGTTCTCTGACATGCATTTCTTTATAATTCGTTATATACTAATTTGGAGTAACTTGGAATAAGATTATATACTCGCTTGGATATATTCCAATAAAAATGAATTTCCGTGCTCTAATATACAATTCATTAAATACCAACTTGAATAAATATCAATGAAAAAGAATTTGCATACTCTGACATGCATTTCTTTATAATTCGTTATATATTAATTTGGAGTAACTTGGAGTAACGTTATATTCTAACTTGAATAAATACCAATAAAAAAGAATTTGCATACTCTGATACGCATTTGCTATTAATTTCCTATATACTACCTTGAATGAATACTAATAAAAAAGAATTTGCATACTTTGATACAATTTGTTATATACTGCCTTGAACGAATACCAATAAAACAGAATTTGCATACTCTGATATGCGTTTCTTTATAATCCGTTATATACCAACTTCGAATAACATTATTTACTCACTTGAATAAATACCAATAAAAGTTTATTGGAAATGGGTTATGAAAAAGAAATAGTCTTTTAACTTTGTAATATACGATTTATTGACGGACTCAGAGGAAACGTCTTTACGCTATTGAATGTTCTAAAGGACAGTTTCTGGGCACCCGAAAAGAAAGTTGGGGTCCTCTTATACCTAGAAACTGTTTACTTTATGGTATCGCATTGTGCAGTGCGTGACTCGAAGAATGACACCAGATGCATCTGGTGGATGCCTTTGTTTAAAAGAACGCGGAGACATTTTTGTCCTGACTTGATTATTTGCATAGGGTGTCTGTCGCGTACGTTCTGTCTGTTGCGTACAACAGCGCAACTCGTACTTCGCACGCCGAATTAACTTTGTGCGAATAGTTTAATTCTAGTGGACTGTATAACTTATATTTTATTTTCCTTGACTATCACACCTAATGTACTATTTATTTAACGTTCAATGTTCGTGCTTCTATGTCTTGTGTCTAACTAACTTTTCGTTTTTAAAAAGATCCCGTCGATGCCTCCGAACAAACCGCATCGCGGGGGTGAGACACTCGGATAGGTGGAATTCATGTTTCGATAGTGGTGGGGAAGGGTGGCTGACACTACCTATTGGTTAAAATTAAAGGGGAGAAACTAAGCAAAAATGCCACCCCCCAGATCATTCGTCACTCTCAGGTACCGATCATACCCTTGAGTGACGCACGGGGAAATTCCGAATGTCTCTAACAATGATTGTAGCAGACAATAGCCTTAAGAAACGCTTCGGCTCTGGTGACCATATGTATGAAAATTTACCGAAAAAAAAAAGGGACGAAGCTTCTATCTCGAAAAAAACAAGTTTATAAAAGGCAAGGCAAAAAGAACTACGATTGCCGTGGTATCATAAAGTTACTGTCGCTACGAAACGGCTAACGGCCTTCTAATAAAAATGTACTTATTTGGTATATCTCGAGGGTTAGGCGGCAGATATACGCCTCGAGGGCTAAATAATCCTTACTGCTACGAAAAATTGAAGAATATTAATTTGAAAGGTCGCTACGCGACAGTGTCGTTAGAAATAATCCAACAAAATTAATTTGCACGGTACAACAAAGTAGTAGATGCTCCAGCTCTGCGACAAAGTACAGACTCGCGTCTCAACTGTCCCACAGTACTGACCAACGCTGCCATAACGAAAGGGTTAAACCAAGTTACCCAAGAAAAGCAGCTCCCCATCTTCATCCCTGTCATAAATTTCTCCTGCAAACGGTCCTAAAACATACTTTTCTCATCTTATCCCTTCACTCGTACTGTCTCCATTTGAGCAGCATCGAGATCAACAGAGGTAGGTGAGAAATAAAATAGATCGTTCTCCGTAATGAAAGGCGCAGAGGATCGATTGGAGGTTACCGGAAGTCAAAAGGGAAAGTGTCGGAGCGCGAGAAACGCGGCGGCGGCGGCTGGGTGACAAAGAAGCCGGCGGAGGAGAAGAGGCGTGCGTGAAACAGCAGTTTCAGAGATCAATGAACGATTGTTTCCTACCTTGCCTCTCGCGTCGTTCGTGTTCTACAGGTTGCACCGAGCGGCGGCACGCGCGTTCCTTCCCCCGCGTATACGCGTTCTTCTTCTTGTTGATTCTAATCGAGAGTGCTTCGTTCGAGGAGAGAGAACCGGCTCGCGAGCTCCTTTTTTTTTTTCCCGCCCCCGTTTCACCTACACCGTTTCGTTTATTCGCCTCCTTCCAGCGGTCTTTCATTTTAACCTTGTTCCGCAATTTGAACTACCGTTGGAAATCTTTCGTTTGTTTGAAAAGCTTCTTTCCGTTTCTATTCTGTTTCTAAGGAAATTGTCGTTAACAAATTCGCGCCGGCGGCGTTTGGAATCTCATTTCGCGTCTATTGCCTTGAATCGCGTTACGCTGGAAGAGAAGAACTGGTGTAACTAATTAATATCTATCGAGGAAATTTTATTTCATTCGTGAAACCTCTGTTGTGGCACCACCGAAGAGAAATTCAACCATTTAGAGCGTTTTGTGAATTTATCTTCGGACAGATGAAAATCAGTGAAAATCTCGTCTGTTTCTTTCACTCAATTTGACGAAATATTTTTCGAAGAAACTTTACTTAATTCCCGAGGCATCTGTCGCAGCATATTACCGAAGAGAGATCGAACCATTCGTAGCGTTTCGTAAATCTATCTTCAGACAGATGAAAATCGGTGAAAATCTGAACGACTTGAAACACAACAACAATCCCTTTATGTTTGTTTGCAGGGATTTGGAGCGGGATCTGAGCCTCTCGGAGGACAGCGACGATGAGCCCAGCAAGGTAAGATCTACAAATTTCTCTAACGTCGTGTTTGCTCAGGCAGCGATAATAATTATCGAGCTCCCAGTGGAGAACGGTTTTTATTAATAGCGGCTGTGGAAGTGATCGCTATCAGCGTGGCCGTATAAAATTAATCGGTAATCGTTCCGCTTTTCTTTCACAGGAAACGTCATCGCGAACGACGAGGGGAAACAGAAGCCCCGACCTCACGGTCGAGTAAGTATCCGTTTCTCGATACGTTCGCTAGTTAATACTCGTGTTATACTCTTCGATTATCTCGTTCCAACGTTAATGTCCTCCCCACTGCTATTTATTACTTTATCGTCGATTTATTGCGCCGCTTTCCCCGAACATCACGCTCCCACGTTTCCTATTCCTCTCAGCTTAACCCATTCGAGGCCAATCACACACCTGATGTGCAATCTCGTCCCTAGGCGAAAAGAACGACACACTTCCTGTGTAACGATCGTGGATTTATTGTTGTTATTATTGAAGTACTAATCGTTTTTAACCCTTTACCGTCGAGACACCGTTTTTAGAACGTGAAGACAGATACGGAGTCTAGGAAACTCCTCAACTTCCAGGTAATTTATAAATATGGAAGACTTTTGCCAACTTTTCTTACCGACTTACCTTTACTAGACATTTTCTTAGTAGACACTGTAGGACAGAGTGGTCGGTTGTAATAATTTCGCTTTAAGGCCCAACGCGCCGGCTACTTTGTTGGAAAGTTGACTTAAAGCGCGGCAATATTTACGAGTTTTGTAGAAACACGCACTTTTACGGAATAAAACAAAGGAACTCTGGTAAAAGAGAAAATTTACAGTTAGTTACAGGCACAGCGACGATTTGTTCAGTTCTAAATAGAATGGAAGGAAACGAAAAAGACAGAATCAGCGGAGTCTGAGGCTCCGCCTCGACGGTAGAGCGTTAAACAAAATAAAAGTTAACCCTTTGTACTCAGAATTTTCTTTGCCAATAACTCCGCGTTATTTTAAGTGTTTTATTTGAAATGTACTTCCGAGGACAATTGTAAACAATTGCTGCATGACACTTCTCTGTAACAATTGCACTTCTTTGTTATAAAAAGGGGTCATACACACGTAATGTTGCTTATCTAAGTGTAGAAAAAGTATCGCGAAATATAATACATATTTAAACTGGCAATTTAAAAATGTCGAGTGTCACTCGACGCAGAAGTGCCTGTGAATAAAATTGACGCCGAGTCGGAGGAGACAAAGGAGTGCAAAGGGTTAAAGCTCTGTAGATATGAACTCTTTGCGGTCGAACTTTTACCTTTTAAACGCTCTGCGGACGCCATTTGCCTGCGGCAGAGTTTAAACAAACTCGGTTCAATCAGATTTATACGTTTTTGGGAAATAATTGACTGAGCGCGCCACCGAAAAATAATTCCGACTAAAATGCCTGCGGAAAATACGAGCGCAGAGTTAAAACCTGCGTTAGTTCCAAGCTAGGACCACACAGTGAGTGTAGACACTCGCGGTGTGTTTTCATGGCCTGATTTGTACGAAAAACGTGTACAATGTTAATTTTTCACTTACCAAACATGTTTTCACGAAGAAAAAAACAACATTTTGGCTCCTGCGCACCGACTTTCGAAAAGTCGCTGGCCTCGAGTGAGTTAGGCACATCGTGGTTAACCTACTTCACACTCTCTCTTCGTTGTCTCCGTCGTTTCGAATAGACAGATCCATTAAGGTGTTAGGACACAGTAATATTTTGAAAAAGTCGAAATTTCTTTTTTGTCTCAAATAGCAGTTTCAAGTCTTGAGAACAGAATGCAAAAGGTTTAACATGGAGCTTCGATACAAATTATTTCTCCAAGTACCGTTTCGAGGGTGAATTCGTATACCTGCGTGCCGTGACGCACCGATGCGTTTTTCAAAACGCAGTTCTACCTTAGCAATTACATGAAAATTTTACAGTTATCTTTACTACAATATCTATGAGGCATTGACGATCGACTCTTTTACATTTTCCCATTATTTTGTGAAATAGAAAGAAAAAAGTAAGAAATTTTTTACCGAAATTCAGTCGTTAAATTTAAAATATCTGGCATTTTGTTAATTTTCACAAAAATTGAAATGTGGGATCGCCAATGCCTGGAGGATATATCACAGTTCGTGACATTTTTGGGATTCTGGATATAGTTCATTCGATTTGTAGGAATCTTGTACACCAGTTGGCCATCTGGAAGAAAAGATATTCCGAGCGAAGACGACGATAGGCATAAGAACAAATTATTTTTTAAATATTACAAATTGAAATAGAAAATTCTATATTAATCGATTATTCACTTTTTGCTGCACTCTCGTTTAAAAATCCTATATTTTACCCACTTGTTACTGTGCCCTAACCCCTTAAAAATATTTAACCCTTTGGTTAGCCACGAAAGGCACACGCTTGTACATCCTCAGGAAGTCTTTGGGTTGTTCTCTTTGAAGAAAGCCTCGTGTCTAGGTATACATCGACTAAATTTGGCTCGGTTTACCGAACTGACATAATCTTGGACGTATCGTGGATACCGTTGCGCAACTGCAATAACTCACACGAGACAAATTTCCCCGGAAAACGTATTCTCTCTCTCTTCACCCGAAATAAGATTCTATTTGACAAAATACGAACGCGTTCTAGCTGCCGCGAAACTGAAATACTTGGATTCTTGGAGCAGTAATGCGAGCTGAAAGTAACATTTTCAATGTCGATTCCTCGGTGTTTAAACTAGTTGAAAGGAATGTTTCTCAATGCGTAACTCTTGTGTAGACAACCAGGTTCCCATTTCTGTATTTCATTTAACAATTTTTTGTGGTCTTATGAAAGTATCGTAAGACCGCTTGGAATCCCCAATTTGAGGACATTTTCAAATAAAAATTTTGTGCAAAGAATAGTGAGTATTAAAGCGTGAAACAACCGTGAAGATTTTGGTTGCTTGCAGAAGGGTTAAGCCAGAAATCCAAGCTGAAAGTGACATTTTAAATATCTTGTGTAGACAATTGGATTCCCATTTCTGTATTTTCCTTCAACAATCTTTTAATTTCTCTTAATAATCGCTCCGGTTCCCCACTGTTTGCACATTTTTTATTAAAAATTTCTGCAAGCAATTGTAAATATTAAAGCGTGAAACAACCGTGAAGATTTTGGTTGCTTGCAGAAGGGTTAAACCAGAAATCCAAGCTCGAAGTGCCATTTTGAATATCAGTTTCTCAGTGCTTAACTCTCGCACCCACTTCTGTATTTTCCTTTAACAATTTTTTAACTTCTCGTGAAGGTGTCGTAAAATCCTACTTTTTGGACATTTTTCAACAAAAATGCACGCAAACAATTGTAAACGAAGCTTGAAACAATCGTGAAGATTTTCGTTGGAACCAGAAATCCAAGCTGAAATGTTTCAAAAAACTGTTCGAAGACTAAACGTCTAATTTCCCTTAAACAGCCTGTCTACGCCGTTGATACCAGCGATGACACCAGCTCCACCGCCCCTGGCGCCAATGTCGCCCATGGGTCTGTCACCTGTGGGTCCTCTGTCGCCCACGAGGCCGCTCAGTCCAGCGAGACCTTCGTCACCGCCTAAGCAGATGACGCCGGAGCAAGTGTTGTCGCCTCCACCGGTCAGCCCGCTGCAATCCAAGGGTTCTCCGAGCCCAACGATTCATCAGAGACCACCTAGTCCTCCTGGTCAAGCGCCGCAGAGCTCGGGAAGCGCTAGTTCCAGCTCTGACTCGGGATCTGACTCCGGCTCGGATAGCAGCGACGATTCCGAGGACGAGACCAGCACACAGCCTGCCAAGGGTCCATCCACGCCTCCGTCTGTCTCACCAAAGAACGACAATCTGATCGAGGAACCACCACCTGCGATCGAGGAGTCGAAACCAAGGTGGAACCTTAGCTCGTTCTTCAACAAGACCGCCGTGCCACACGGGGATCAGAACACGGAGAACAAGCAGACGCAGGTATGAGTTGTTTTACGATCGAACGGTGTTTCCTTTTGAGGGCATTTTTTCACGATGTTTCTGAAGTTTTGTAACCCTTTGACTGATTTTTCGGGGTTGCTGGCGTTTCAGGGAAATTTTCATTCTAGTCTATCGGAGTCTGTAAAATCTTCAGGCGCGTTTAGGCGATTTTCTGTTTGTGTATTATTTACTGCGAGATTTGGTAATTAACCATTTAGCATCTGTGAACGAGATATCTCGCGTGTTGTTTCATTGGGAAACGAAATACATCATAAAGATTCGGAAACGTTCATTGTGGGCTGTAGTCGATCGCTGGGTAGTATTCTTTCGACACGTTTAGAAGATTTTCAATTTTTGTATGATTTACTTTGCAAATGTGAATACTGTGGACAAGATATCTCGCGTGTCTTTTCATTAGGAGACGAGATATATCATGAAAATTGATAAATGTCCATTGTGGGCTATCAAGCTTTGTAATCGGTCGCAGGGTAGTATTGAAGTTTTTTGGCACGTTTAGACGATTTTATATTTATGTATTTTATTTTGCAAACGTGAAAGCCAGGGCTTGGGTGAAACTGTAAACTTTATTTCGTAAACTTCAAACTTTTAAATTATTTCTTTTCTGTTTTAAGTTAACTTTGTACATTAACGCCTTAATTCTTTGGCTAATAAAAGGTTTTAAGGAACATTTATTTCTTAACAGATATTTTAAAGTGAAATATAAAAATTGTAACTATTTTTCACTTACTTAGTTACTCACTTACTTACCAACATCTCACTTGCAAATGTTTGGGTACAACTAGAACTCTATGTAATACTAAACGGTAAATTTGTTCGGAAGTACTTCAACTTTTTCAAAGCAGAATAACTGTTACTGTCCAACTACAACTTTTTCCCATTTCCGAAAAAGAGAAAATTTTCTATTTGTGCACAAACATATGGAGTTAAAAGTCAAGTTAGAAAAGCTAAGAGTCAAAAAAATAACTGTTACATCGGAACCAATTGAAAACTTTAACAGTTCCCTTCAAGCCCTGGTGAAAACTGTGGGATTTGGTAATTAACCACTTAGCATCTATGAACGAGATGTCTCGCATGTGTTTTCATTAGGACACGAAATATATGAGAAATATTTGGATAAACATCAGTTCTTGAGTCATCTCTTCCACGTATGCGAAGAGATTAACGAGTGTCGACATATTTTAAGTATAAACTATAAAATACAATTAAAGTAGGAAAAGAGAAACGTCAGTTTTCTTTAGACTTTCCCAAGGAAAAATACGCACTTTCGCCTTATATATAACTTACACCTAACTCTTAGCCTAAACACGCCTATACCAACGTTGCAAGTGCACAATAGGTGCCCTTTTCACGGCCACCCATGCGATACTACAAAAGTGATAACTCGCGAATACGTTTCGTACATAGTGATTGTTAACACGTTCGTTGCCGAGTACACGATAACACAAGCTCCGTCGTTAGTGCTGAATATCCCGCGATAGTATCCTTTAACAAGTGTTTTCACCATGAAGAACGAAAAAATAACAAAAAATAAAAATTGCCTGATACTTCGATCGAAGTCTCTTACAAACCTTCGAAATTTCAAAGAACTTTGAATTTTTCGAATGCCTGAGTTTCCTTGCGAAAGTTAGAAATTGGTGGCTCCACCGAATGGTTCCTTACAAACCTTCCAAATTTGAAAAAACTTTGAATTTTCCGAATGCCTGAGTTCCATTATGAGAGTTAAAAATTGGTGGCACACGAATGCTCTTTCTAATTTTCTGATGGCAGCGAACGTGTTAAAAATATAATTTGGCCACACACAGCGAACGTTTTCCTTTCGAGTGACGTTCAGTCAAAGGGTTAACCAAAAAGGAAAGCAAATAACGCGATCGTAAAACGTACGCAGCATCAGGCGAGAGTTAGAGCAAAAGACAATGTTAAATTCGTCTGTACGACGAGACAGAGTTGATAAAAGTATTTGTCTGATGGTGTAAGGGTGTTTTTAGCAGTTGGGATAAGCTAGGCTGTAACCATAAACTCTTACGAGCTCCGGAGACCCTTAGACACAGAGTACAATCGAGTCTGGAAACTTCAAGTAACTTCAGCCGTCTTCCCTGAGAACTTTCAACTCCCGATTCCCTTCCTGGACTTCAACCACTCTTTTAACAAGTCGTTTTAAATACACACCTACATGTATATATATACACTCGTATAGATTTGAACTGTCGTTTAAAAGACGAATGTTTTCAGGAGTGCAACAGGCGGGAAGGTTCTTCCCCAGCGGCGGCGCCTGACGTTAGAACGAAAGCAGCTCACGATTGGCAGCTAGACGAGGCTCTGAAAAGAACCCACAACGCGACAATCATCAGCTTGCTCGACAGCGACAGCGATCGTCCCTCGGACCAAGAGAAGAGCCAACCTGTCGAAGAGAATCGTGTGCAAGTGGAGAAACCAAAGGTAGCTGACACGAGGAAACGTGGACGACCTAGGAAACCGACGAAGAGTCCTAAAGGTGGTCACAGAACGTCCGAGGAGAATGTGAAGAATGGAAAACCTCGCAGTAGAACGAGAGGCGTAGGTAGTCCTATGAAGAAGAAGGCGCCACTCTCTAAACCCACCATCACGACCAGTGACGATGGAAGTGACGACAGGTCGCAGGGTGCATCTAGCGATTCCGACAGCGATCGACCGACCAGGGTGTCTCCGGTAGTACCGCCCGCTATCACCGAGAAGAGAAGGTCCAGGTTGAGCGGATCTTCCAGCGAGGACGAGAGCCCGACGAACGGGAAGACGAACAGTGCCTCCGAGGACGATACCACGCGCTGGAGAAGGGTGCCTATCAAGAGAAGTAAACTGGCTGACTCGCCTAAGAAACAGGAGAAGAAGAAGAGCCCGGCGAAAGCGAAACCCAGGAGGTCTAGCTCGCGGGTGACTAACGTTGGCGGGTCAGATTCTGACAGCGAGTCCGAGATGTCGGTGAGGAATCGCATCCAGGTTGCCAGGTGAGTTGGAATTCTGTAGTTTTATTTGGAAGATAGTACGGAGATTTAATTGGATACAACGTTTAATTATTTTAGGGTACCTCCAAGGCCAAGGGCACCACCGACCAGGGCAACTTCTCCGGAGAATTCTGACAGCGATAACAGTCCAGGCCCGAAGTTACAAGAGGAGGACGCGGGTAACGTGCAGGACAAGAAGAAGAGCGACACTCTTCGTAAGGTGTTCTCGTCGTCGATGGGCGGTGGGAAAGGTGGTGGAAAGGGAGGTAAAGGTGGCAAAGGTGGAGGAAAGTGTGGTATCTACGTGGAAGAGTACACTACTTCTGCGAACACGCCTACAGGAGGGGAGAGTCCGTACAAGAGACCCTCGTCCCAGGCGTCCAGCCTGATACAGTCTTTCCCGCCTCTCACTTACGTGAACGGCGTGCCGAGTTTATTCTGCAGGATCGAGCTGAGTAGAGTACCGCATATATCGCAGCTATCGAGAGGGCAAGAGTTGAGACAACGCACGGAACTTCCGGACACGAGGCCGTCCTCGAGGCAGGCCTCTACGTTGGCCGTGCAACCTCCTCGGCCGCCGACACCAGAAGAAGGGGAAATTGTCGACACGCCACCGCCTCAACCGCTCGCCACGGACACGAGGATCCACGGTGACGCGTTGCTAGTCGATGGTGACCTTAAGAATCGCGCTGTGATCAAGGGCGAGCCTATATCGGACACGAAGAATAATTGCGGCATCGGCCTGGGCGCCGGTGTCGTCGGTGGAGGTGCTAGTGGAGGTGGTAGTGGTGCTAGTGGTGCGGGTAGCGCGCCCAAGAGGAAACGTAATCCGAGTTGTAGTTCTGTGTCCAGTTTGAGTACTGTGTGTTCCGTGGAGACGAAGACAAAAGGGTCGGTTGAGCACAAAGAGAGGAAGAAGAAAAAGAGAAAACACACGGACGTTGAAGCTATCGCGTCTAGGCCATCTTCCAGTCAGGTATGATGAGATCTTTAAAGACATTTCGTTAGACGATACGCTATGTATATATGTACATATATAGATGATACAGAAGGATACGCTGTATTAAATAAGTGTGATTTGATTATCGAGCAGCAAAGTGATATACAACCAACGAACCACGAACGGGAAGAAAAGCCTGATACCAGTTTGTTGCCGCCACCACCCCCGCCTCAGCGCGTCTATTATTCCTACTTCAATCCTCAGAATGAAGTTTTGGAGGATCAGGATAGGTGGTGAGTAAACGAGGAAAAGCGAAGTTCCGGTGAGGAATGAAGAGTGAGAGAGAGAGAGAGAGAGAGAGAGAGACTGATACCTTAATTCACTTTGCGTGTTCGCGTGTTACAGGGACCAGAATCAGTACCTGATGGAAGCGAAACGGCTGAAGCACAGCGCCGACAAGGAGTGCGAGCTCACGGCGCAGGGTATGCTTTACCTGGAAGCCGTTCTGTGTTTCCTGCTCACCGGCAACGCCATGGAGTCGGATCCTCTCACGGAGAGGGCGTCGTTCACCATGTACAAGGATACTCTCAGTCTCATCAAGTGAGTACATCTCTAATTAAGCGCGAACCACCACGAAGAGTACTTGCTAATTAAAGCGATCTCCGATTTCTCTCTCCCCCATTTGCCCTTCTCTCTACACCCACTACTAGATACATCTCGTCGAAGTTCAAGAGCCAGCAGAACAACTCGCCGGAGAGCAGTATACATAACAAGCTGGCCATTCTAAGGTGAGTGCGCACTTACCGTGCCTACCTTTTGCCTCTTTATCTCTCTGTCGCGTCGCGTCGCGTCGCGTGCGATTGTGCGAGCGAACGAGCGAGCGAGCGCAAGCGCGTTTCAAAAAAACGCTGTTCTATCCTCGTTTGTTTCAGTCTCTTTTGCCAGTCCCTCATATACTTGAAGCTGTTCAAGATGCGCAAACACGAAGTGAAAGAGACCCAAAAAATCCTCACCGACTATCATCAAAAGGTGAGTGCGCTACGGACGCATTCGGGAAAACACTTTTTAATAATAACCGCAACGGCACTGCTGCTGCCTCTATTGGGCGGCAGGTTGCGCAAATTTACTGGTCCTTTTCTAACAAATCTCGTCTCGTCGTTCTGCCTTCAGCCTGCACAGGCGACACCGGTACAACCAGAGGGACAAGGAACACCTTCTTTATCACCGACGCCATCGCCAGCCGGTTCCGTGGGCTCGGTCGGCAGCCAGAGTTCCGGATACAGCAGCGGCGAATTAGCGAATCGTGGAGCAGCTTCGGGTCAACCTCAGGCAGCGCCGTACGTCAGCGTTCCACTCGGCGTTCACAACGCTATGGCCAAGCAAAACTATCAGTTCAGCTTGCTGTTAAGCTGTCACGATCTCTGGGACCAGGCGAATGCTCTGGTGACGGATAAACATAGAGGTGAGCCTTCACCCTTTCCTCGATATATCACTGGTTATAGAGAAACGGATTGGATAACGTGACGTGTGTCTTCTTCTCTCGTTTATGTAGATTTCTTCATCGAGCTGGATGAAAAATTGGGACCCCTCACGTTGAAGAGCTCGTTGCGCGACCTCGTGCGCTACGTTCAAGCCGGTATAAAGAAGCTTCGAGATCTCTGACCACAGTGGCATAGCCCCCGACCACCCACCCCGAATTACATCACTTCTCTCCCGCAGAATATGGCCACGTATCCAACGATGTACACGTAAGGATGTGTCTGAACGAGACTCTTCGTGGGCTTCTTTTGGAAAACGTACGATCGTCGAGATCGTATATTGTCGAAACAGCGTCGTAAACGGCAATGTTGGGAAGAGAGGCGTTGAATAAACGAAGAAACACAAAAGGAGAGAAGTTGGGTATACTCTCAGCGGACAAAATCGCTGTTTCCCGTGGGGTGCAAGATTTCGGTGGTCTGGGGGAGCAACGGAGGAAGGCGTTGTATCCGATCGCGAGGAGATCGTCGATTACTTACTCGCACTTAGAAGAGCTCTAATCACGTTTCTCCGTTCACGGGGGTTCACGGGACCGCGCCCCGGCATTTTTTAACAAACTCCTAGCACCAACTTTATAGTCAATTCAGAGTTACTCGTCTAAACGGATAGACGGCCAGGAGAGGGAGGATGATTGTTACGGATACGCAATCGATGCGTAGAGAGAGAGAGAGAGAGAGAGAGAGAGAGAGAGAGAGAGAGAAACCTCCTGTATTCTATGCGTAGCACGCGTTACTTATTTTCGAGAGGAGAATCGAATGCGTTGCCGGCGAGATACGCGTACCGGCAACATTGATATAAAACGGAGAATAAAAGAATAGCGATGGAAATGAGGAGAAGAAATGGAAGAGGAGGAGGAGTAGTAGTAGTAGTATAACGTTGGAGAGATAAAAAGAAAATAAAGAAGCGAGGGAAAATAATTCGTCCCTATTTTTTTCGGAATATAATCATTTTTGTAAATTGAAGATGAGACGAAATGGAGGATGAACGAAGAGGAAGAGGTGGGAGTTAGAGACCGAAATTGGGGAGGAGAAACGACGAAGAAGGAATAAGAAGTGCCACAGAAGCGCCCGTGTGTTCTCGCTTTACGGTGCGCCGCAGCCGACGTTACCTGAAGCATGAGTTTCGTCTTGGCGATTCGAGTGCGACGAATACACAAGGATATACATATATGCATATAGTTTATT